GGTAAACCCGCCTGCGCGAACGGGATACGCTGGCGGAGTACCAGTGAAGGGTGATAGATGAGAATGAAAACAGGTCAGTTAGCCCATGATGATGAATTCATCAGGAATTAACCATGATAGTTTCCAGGGAGAACCGCGAGGAGGTCGAACTGGTTGGGTATATAGCTAGCAATGGGATTCTCAGTCTCCATTACTAACAATCCCTTTTCCCCCTCGCTAGGTATTAACCACGATAATTTCTACATGAAGGTCTTCCTGACAAAATTATAATATTGACTTAACTATAATGCATACAAGCAATGAAGATCAGCATCTTTATTGCTCTCCCTCCGAAACTGAACAGACCCCATCTTTCAAACAAACTATTTGCCAATTCATACCGTCCTATTTTAACAACAGATTACAAAGTTTACTTTTTAACATAAAAATGTAATATTAAAATAGTTTATGCTATCAGTATACGCTGGAGGATTACCATTGAGAGATGATAGACAAAGATAAAGTTAGATTTGACAGCACATCGCAATAAATTTATTAGCAATAACGATAGTCACCAGTGCGAACCGTGTGGAGATGTACCTGACAGCAATGGGACCGCTAGACCCATCATCAATAATGCGTTCACCAAAACACATAGCAGTCTGTGGTTAAAAGTAGAAGACGAATCAACTTCCGCATTATTTTATGAGTAGGATGATGATTAGAAGTTATTACATGGGTGGGCGGATGACCGCAACAAGAACTAGTTTCGATGCAAGTGAAATTTCGTTATCTCGATGTTTATCGCCATTAACTTTTGAACGGTGGGTTAATTAAATGTTGGGCTATAAGCCTTTGCAGTTTATGTGATGATACTTAATATCTTAATCGAGTGAAATTAAATTGAATATAGTAAGTACTTATTATTGGTACTGGTATTTCGTTACTCTGATGAGAACGAGAAATGGTTATAAAATCACAAATATTAGGAGTAGAAAGTAACTATTTTAGTTCAGTACCAATAGAATACATCCATATGGTGACAGAAGAGGAATACAAAAGTGACCACTCCTGTTCATAGCAACTAAAAAACTAAATATTTTTCTAAAACCACTTTTGAATTGCAAAATTTTTAAAATACCAAATCCAAATATATATATTTAAATTTAGCAAAGATTCAAAAAGAAGAATCAAAGTAAAATCTTATTCCAAATAAAATTTTCAAAACATATTAAGTTTAATATGTTTTATCGTAAAATGTGTGTGTGTGTGTGTGTGTGTGTGTGTAGTGTAGGTATGTGATTGAAAGAAAAGCTATTAATATGTTAAAAATAAATTGAAAAAAATTCGAAATGAGCGGAATTAACAATTAGTAAATACCTGTCTAAACATAAATAAATGTTTATTATTATGTCAGTATGTTAATATCTACTACTAGTGATTTTTTTATACAATTTCAATAAAAATATTATTATTTATTTTTATTGACAGACTATAAAATGCTTATAATAAATTATACATTTGTGATTACGACCTACCTATATCATCTTGAAATACACGAGAAGGTAATTTCTGTGCCAGCGGCAACCACTAAATCAAATTAAACGCTACCTTGCCAATCTTATTCGATACTTGTTATCTGATATCTAAGATAGGGTTGCAACATTTCAAGAATAACAAAAACTTTTTTTTTTATTTTAAATAAACATCTTCAATTATTTTATTTATATTTTATATTTTTCATAATATGATAACTGTTTATTATAAAATTATAAAAGTATATATCACGATATTGCACAAAGTAAAACGATGTAATTATTTTAGTACAAGTGTATATAAAAATTTATAATTTAAAGCTTTCTTACATCACAAACTATTTAAATAGTTGTAATGCGACGGATGAATATAGTATTATTACAAAGCAGGATATTATAAATATTTACATAACATAGCATGTCTGACATTCTAATGAAATGACATTTAACTATAAAATAAACTTTATAAATAGGTTAGAGACTAATATCAAAAATTAAATTTTAATTTACAATTATTACTCATCATTCTTTTTTCATTTGAATATTATTTAAATTAACTTCTTAGTTTTTGATATCATTTATATCTTTTTTGTTTTTATTGTATATTAGTGATGCTTGCTGTCTGGATGTAACATGTTGAAAGACAGCAATTCTTATAAAAAATAGATACTTTAATCGTATTAATAAAAATAGTGTACAACCAACATTGGATGAAATCTGATCAAAGAAGAAAATGCTTCATCAAAATCTGTGCAGAGTTGTCAGAAATATTGTAATATAAAAAAACGTATTTTTTTCCAATGGCCATTCAATCTATTTTGTGACAACCCTATCCATAATTAGAGTACCTACTGTGAAAGTATAATCTAAGGGTTTAAATCTCAAATCTTGTGGGCAAGATTAATGTGGTACATTTGTCAATATAACACCATCAGCTACATAATTTTAATTTAAACGTTCGTATTTTAAAATATCCTGATTTATTTTATTTATATCTAGATAAAAAAATCATAAATGCGTAGGTTTTACTATGATTTTCTTATACGTACTGGGCAGCGGTTGTAGGTGTCTTTTCTTTTTAAATAACAACTATTATCTGGAAATCGTATTAAAAAAATGTTGATATTCTTAACCGCCAATCTATTACATACACATATTAAATTGTTGTATCAGCCATTAACTATCCACTGCTGAACATAGCTTTCCCCATAAGAGGGGTTTTGGCAATAGTTTCCACGCTTGGCAGGCGGGTTGGCAATCGCAATTTGGCTTCTGATCATGTTTTAAGAGGGACGCTGCTGCCCATCCCTCCACCATAATCCCTTAGTCGCCTCTTATGACACCCACAGTAAAGGAAAGGATGGCCTATTCTATGTCGGAACCTACGCGGCTTCTTATCTACATATCAATATACAAATAATGTCCTTTATGACTTTATGGGCAGGTAAAAGTCATTTCTAATTCATTATTTAGAATAACAAATGAAAAACTAATTCATACGCTCATCCATGTTGGGCACGAATCTCTCCATAAGAAACGGATATTAATCTAATATTAACAAGCCAGCCAGATGGCTTGGTATATTCTTCTTTTGAGGTTTATTAGTGTGTTTTTTTTTTCATCCAGTCTTATTTTCAATTTTCATAAAATTATTTTATTACCTACATTTCTGTGCATTATGTGTAAACGACCTGAAATCTTCTCAAAAGATACGAGAAACAAATCACCTAAATGTTGAGATAAAAACATTCATCTGCAAGATAATGATAATAGACTAGAGTAGTTAGTTGTGTAACAAATGTCACAGAAATGCACTCTACAACAATGACGAAATTACGTAGGCACTGAACGATGGGAACGCAGCCAAGCTCCTAGGCAACTAAGTACCATGTTATGAAAACTCTTCGTCTTATGTTTTGAGAAATCCATTATATTTTAGTCATTTAAACAATTACTATGGAATGCGGTTATCGATAATGCTATCATGACGTAATATTATTGTGAGTGAGACGTAATATTATTGTAAGTGTAAATTAAAAATAATAATTAAGTAATCAAAACCTGTCAAGAAACCTAATTGAAATACTATTTAGGTCATTTAAATCAATATGAGAGTTCGTTTGTCTGATATTTTTTGCAAAATAATTTATTATTAATAACTAATATAATTTTGAATATCATATTTTTATTAAAATCTACTCGTAGCTTTCACCCGCTTCGAAACCCGTGAGTTTTGTGAACCTAAAACATATGGCAAATTTAAGCTACACTTTCAAGAACACAACTGTAAAAATCGCATCCAATTCGATGTAGCACTTTCTGCATAATACAACAATAAACATATCGATTATACTGTTCTTATTAAAAGCCCTTATATCAATTTCTTTTAATTATCTCCTATGACATTAGTTACATTAGTATTCTAAAGTACCCGCTTCTCTTGATATAATGCCACACTATGTACACGCAGCATCTAATTACAACTTAATTATATTATTATGTGTGTACATAGGTGATTAATAACAATATTCTCAATTCCAGTGTTAACAACAATCAGCGCTCGTTTAATTCCGTTCCGGATGGAGTGATGAAACCGAGAGTTTATCAAGTTCATTGACGCCAAAATGATCATAATTCACTTTCGTCGAAACAATGTTTACGTACATCACACACGTAACGTACATAGGTGTGTACATAGAAACTCGATTCCACCAAATTCTATGAACTAAATATGGCACCATTGGTGCACTATTTTATATCGATGAATGATAGCATTGTGCACTCGCCTCTGCTAATAGTATAGAGTAGAGGAAGACATGATGATAATGAAACTAATTTTCCAGATGCCTTAATTCTCAAAGGCTAAAATAATAACCTAAGTGAAAGAACAAATTACCGGCTCTCTCAATATAATAATTCAAATGTACCTATACGTAGATATATAATACATCATATAAAAATATTAAAGAAAGATGATCTATTAATCTTGTTGCCTACTTGATGGCTTGCATACTATAGATATGGCAACTGGAATATGCTATTGCATATTACAGATTACTATCATTCTAAGTCTAGATCTTCATGTCAGAAAAATCGACTACGCACGAGAAAAGCCTTTAATATTGCATCTATGTAGGGAAAGTTATTGTTAGCAGTAGGATCTAGAAGCTCCTACTGCTTATCAGCAATACATCCAGTCGGGTCGACCTCCACACGATTCCATCTAAAAACTGTTGCAGATAAATCTTGACGAATTCGTTCCGATGGTTTGACAGACTTATTTTCATCCTCACCCATCATTCCTTACTGGTACCCCGCCAGCGTAGGTATAGCACAGACGAGGTTAACATTCCATTTTCTCTTATTTAAAAAAATATTGCATGTATTTGTATTCTTGAGCTACGGTGACCGTTTACCGTCACGCAGACAGTATGCTTGATTACTATTCTCGCATCATAAAAAAAAACAAAGTTCAACGACACTTACCACCAGTTCAGCAAACTTAGCGTCCAACTCCTCCTGAGGGGGCATGGGGTGAGTGGGTGTGACGGCTTGTAACGCCAGCCCTCCCTCTCCCCCCACCACGCAATATGTAATCTCCGGGGGTTCGTCATTCTAGAACAAGAGTAACCAATGAATGAATGAAAACTCTATTTAAGCTCTCAAAGACAAATACATAAAATACATAACAATTTGCATTATAAGAAGTAATGTAAAAAAAGCAACAATGGGCAATAATAAATATTATTTGCTATTATTGACAAATATTTTCAATATTTTTACTCGTAAATTTAAAATTCATTATATTTACAATTGCAAATTCTCAGATATAAAGATAAATAATCTTTATTTAAATACTCGTTTACAAGTTTTTATAATATGTATTTTTTTTATGAACTTACTGCTGAGTTTGGAATGTTGTTATCTGCTAAGAAGAGCCCGCAAGAAAGTCATTAGTTACATTTTTCAAATTATTTTGTATAAGATAATAACAAAAATTGAAATGTTCAGATATGGAAATAAAAACCAGAATAGATATGTTATAATTAGGCTCACTAATATCGTAATTTATACTATCACTTATATAATTAATAGAAAACAAAAATGCTTAAGTAAAAATATTTACTATATTTTCTATTTATCTTCAATTAAAGAACTGGTATATCATTATGTTTACTACAACATAGAAATCCCATGTAATTACATATTTTTCGCATTATCCATTAAACTTTTGCTTTGCTTGCTTATATATGTATATGCCTACCTAGTCATTTTAAAACATTCCACTACAAAATTATTATAAAATTGCAATGCAAGTGATTGTCCAAAATTAAATTGACGTAACAACACAATGTCATATGCATAAAAAAACAGAAAGTTCGAAGCGAACTGCTTAATTTAAATACATTAACGAGGCTAAAAATAAACGAGAAAGAAAGCAATAAGTGTCTTCCAAAAATAGTAAGCCAAATGAAACAAATAAGGCGACGAGTAATCGGATATATCCGCGAGATGGCCTTTCATTATGGACAATGGACATAATAAGTAATTGGAAAACAAGGTAACTTTTTATCTTGCTGATATAATTAACAGTTGTAGCAGTCCATCCAAATTTAATTACTTACATGACTTCATGTTCTACAGTCATAAAAAAGGAATGGTAATGAACTTTGGTAATAATTTCGAGGCTGCAGTCGCATTTAATGTTGGAAAACAATGTGTAATTAAGTTAAAGACAATTTAGGTATTCTCTTTACCTTTTATTATGTCGGTTAATTTCCCCCGAGAATATTAGATAACAAGGTACTAAATAAGTAACTAACTAGTTACTTTAACTTACATAAATAAATAAATAAATAGAGATTAATATATTATTCACTTTTAGCATTAAAATATAATGAAAATGTAAAACAATATTAAATTCAGTAATAAATTGCTCATAAAAAATAAATATATATTTATTCTTAGAGAAATATATATATTATTCACTTTTAGAGATTAAAATATAAATAATTTAAAATTTTAATTCTGATAAATATGCAAGTAAAACAATATTAAATTTTTTAAAAATAAATTGCTCATAAAAAATATTGTATCTATATATTTATTGTACCAATTTGGTTTTTGGGAACAAGAAGAAGTCACACGGGGCCAAATCCGGCGAATTCGAGGGGGGTGTTCGGTCAAATGGAATTTTTACTCAAAAACTCACGGACAACAAGAGAGGTGTGGGCAGGGGCATTGTCGTATATATAACGCCCCTCTCGCGCCATGATGTAACGAGCTTTGAGGCGTCTGAGCACATTTTTTCCATCAACTGTCTGGCCTGGAGAGATTAAAATAAATAAATAATTTATTCCTAAATTTTAATTCTGTGATAGCGATATTAACTATGCAAGTAGGTTATCAAGTGCAAAGTTTAATTATAATGAAGTAATTGGTTTTGTTGATGTTAATTTGACTTATTTTGGATATTCTAAAAAAAAAAAACATTTACACACCGAAATGGTAAATATTGCTGAACAACTACTTAACAATAACTTAAGATCTGCTACTGGCAATCACCAATATTTTGTAAATAAATGATTATTATATTATTATTATAATGTACATCAATATAAAAATAATATCACCATAATTTAATAATGAAAGCGTTTATTCTTAGCTAACCTATGAGAAATAATAAGGTACAATAATATTGTACATACCTAAGCTGAACTTTGTCTTATCTTTTAAATAAATAATAACTCCTTGTAGTCAACGTATGCAACAACTAACAGATAACAAAGAAATAAACGTATTAACTTTTGTAACTTATTGAAGATCTTAGGTATCCTTCGAATTTATGTAATGGACAATTACAGCGTCCTTAAAATGTTCAATCTTGTTTTATTTTAGAAATAATCTATATAAATATACATCTTTAGACAACGAAAGTACATAGCTATCAGTGCCCCTAATATGGTCAAGTATAAAATAAACCACTTCTGAGTCACTGAACAATTTCGACCTTTGGGCGGCGCCTCAGACAATTCTCCGAACTGTCAACATGTCTCTTTGCCCAGGGTTGACTAGTGGATGTATTTAATTTTAACAATCATATAAGTTACTACAGAATAGACAGGTAATGTTTCATATAGAATTTTGACTATAAACCGAATAAATTTAACTGGCAAATCAACAGATCTCGATCACACGGACAAAGCCAGAGGTAAACCTAGTAAATGTAACCTTTTTTATATACATAAATCTAAATATCCTAACGACTCAAAAGAATTACATAACAATAAAAATTCTAAATATCTAGCTGTATCTAGTGGCTACATTCGCATAAGTCAATATAGATATAATGCATATATTGTGTGAAGTTAGAATATAATCGGAGTACGAAATTTCATTCAAATCTATTTAGTATTGAGTAATATCTCTACTATGTACACAAATACATTAAAGTGTTAACCCTCAAGTACTAAAGCTAATAAGGAGCTTTATTTCCGTCGATGACTTCACTGCAGTGGGCATCTCGGGCGCCAGGACAATTTTATTTATGAACTTAAAGGCATTGTCATTATTATTAACCCTAACATTTACGATCTCGTGTACTTAACTTAAATATAAAATGTTGTATAAATTTATTACTGGATCTAGTGTCTATAACTCCTCATTTACTTCATATGTAAATAATATTATAAATAATAATCGATTCAACGTGATGTACATTATTATCATTTTCAATCTTAAAAAAATTATAAAAAAAGAATGCAGCAATAACCTTGATACAATCAAGTATAAAGAAGAAAATAAATTGTCGAAATCTAGCTTCCTCTTTATATTTACGCCAAGTCCCTTACGAGACAGGCACAGAGAACCAAGCATTAAAAATGTCTATAGTTACATATACATGACTTTCTTAATCCATAATACCTGTATTTGTTACCTTATTTTGTTTCTAATTTATAAAATTATTTCATTAAAAGTAACAACTGATTTAAATATATAGATAAATATTTTTCCAAACCTTGTTCGTTTAGAACAAAACATTCTTTTGAAGAAACGTTCAAGATTGGGAACTAATTATATTTTAAATAGACAATAATTAGTATATTAGGTAATATATACGAGAATAAACTTACGCTAGTCACGAAATTCTTTTTTCTTAACGAAAAATGAAATCGTTTTCTATCTTTCCTTTTTGTACTGCGTTTCATACTATCCATTTCATCCATTATGACAATAACACTTAGTTAATTTTAATACCAACAAACCACTTCAATTATAATAAACGTTGTTTATCAAGACAGTAAATAAATAGAGTCACTACACTATACAAAAACGTTCGCGCGTACAACAATATACCGAGAGTCGTGTCGAGACGACTTGTAAGTGTCGCTCATCGTTAACTACTTCCGTGCATTTATGGAAACGTATTGTCTCGTTCTAATTCGATCAACAATTAAATAACGTTTAATTATATGAAAAGAGCTCATAAACTATTTGACGTTCCTTTTGTCGATAAGAGAGGATGACTTATTGTTATTACCTATGTACTCGTATTGTATCATGTATTTACAATAAAAATATTTTCTACCCTAGATTATGTGTGCTATTATTAACGTAGTACAATATTGGGATGAGATCCGCTTTATTTTCATAAAATTTCAATATACATTTATCTCCAACGTATTGCAACTTATTATGTATACATGCTCACGGAATTTACCCTTGTCAATTGCGAGATGAAACAATTCGACTGACCTTACCATGACAATTTATTCTTAAATATTGTGGACAATATAAAAGTTACAACTGTCAGGAATAAAACTAAATCACTAGTCCCTCATCTGAACTCACATTTACTTGCGAACGGAACAGTTTGAATGTAATTTATTTATATTTCTGACTCAGTGATATAACTACCCTTGATTGGTATCGAGTACTCTAAGTAAACTGTGCCTCCCTCGGCTTATTCTAATGGTCATGGCTTGTCACTCCTGGACAACTCCCCCTTGTACTTTGTAAATTAAAAGAAGCAAAGCAAGCCGTGTGGTCCCGGCATAGAATAGACCACCCCTTCCTTTCCCGTGAATGTCGTAAGAGGCAACTAAGAGAGAGCGAGGGATGGGCAGCAGCGTCCCTCTTAAAACATTTCTAAAGCCTGTCTGCAGTTGCCAATCTGACTGTCAAGCGTAGCAACTACTGGCAAAACCTCCCCCAATGAGACTTATGTTCAGCAGTGAACAAAACACTGATATGATGATGAATTTCATAAGAAGCTTTTACTTGTAAACGCTCTGAATATAACATTGTTACTTTTTAACATAGGTACTAAATCTGTATTTAATCAGCCATACAATAAACATTTAATTAGCTTTATCATTTTCTATTTACACTGATATTTTGATACCATGATACGACCTTAACTGAATGTCAGCCTGACTTTACAAAAGAGTTCAAGATTGCTCAAATAGTGTTGCAATGTTTCCAAATCTAAAATCAGTGCCTTAACTGCCCTCATTGTTATATTTGGATGTATTTCGATTGAACTATTGTCCAGTTCACTTACTGTTGACCCAACAATATGATGGCTTAAAAGAGTCAATCGAATTTTAATCAAACAATAACACTTTGATTCGATTCTAAATACTTAATTGTACTCTATTGAATAAAATTCTCTATTCAGTTATATTTATGCAATTACTACATTGAATGTCTGTACATATGACTATGGCCCTTATCATCCTTTAATTCTAAATTAGGCTCAATATAGACTAACTGGTTTCTGAAGCAAAATTTTGATACGACGAATAAATATTATTTGATTTGATTTGACGTTTGAAAAGTTCATGTCGAAAAAGTTTAAAAAATTGGTCAAAAAGCAACAAATGGTATTTTGTATTCAAATCCATTTATAATAATACGAGTATAATCAAATGTAAAGATATACGAGATTAGTAAATTATTTATACTACAACAAAAAGTAAAAAAATTAAGTAAGTTTACGTTAATACGTATTACTCGTCATTAATTAGATTGTTTACATATATAAAAAAATACATATCAAATGTAATATATCTTCTCAGATAGTTTTGTTTTTATCTCAAATTCTTTTAATTCCTTCTTCATAATACATCAAACAGAACGTAATACTTGTACGATACTTCTGGTATCTCAGTGAAAACAGCTGAATAATTTCGCAAAGTCGTGCACGTATCCGAAAACGCGCATCTCTCTGTTAAATTATGTATCATGTGACCGCCATCATTGCTCGCTTTCCATTCGAACAAACTAGTTTCAGCAATACCAATACACTAGTAGGGCTGACCCTACCAATAAAAAAATTGTGGATGTTATCACAAAGATTCAACACGCAAGTGTATCTTTTTATATTGCAAAATGAACATAGACTGCGATGATTATTTACTATCAAACAGTACACTTGCAATACCCGTTAATAAAAACAGAGATAATTCCAAAAAAAAATTAAGAACCTTTTCATATCATTTTAATCATCTATATGATTACAACTTATGCATTTCATATCAACTAGTTTTTAAAAGTTTCCTAATGTTCTAAACATTACGAAATTTTTAAAAACTTCTGAGTGGGTTTTTTTTTCTGGATGGCTTTTTTTATTACCTACTATTTATTTCAAGATAGACAGACAGTTCTAACTCTAGACGTCTCCTGTTTTATTTACTTTTACCTAAGTACTTCCATACAAGGGGAAAGGAATAATTAGCAATGGAGATTTTTTTTTTTACAACACAGGGGGCAAACGAGCATGCGGCTCACCTGATGGTAAGTGACTATGGTAACCGCCCATGGTCATCCACAACACCTAGATTGCAGGTGTGCTGCCGGCCTGTTTTAAGGTTATGTTGTCGTACGGTTCGGAAATACTGCTGCTGGAAGTTGATTCCAAAGAGTGGTTGCGCGTGGGAGAAAGTGCCTTGAAAAACGCACGGTGGAGGACCGCCACTTGTCCAGGTGGTTGGGATGAAATTTTAGTTTATGGCGGGTTGTACGATGGTGAAAATCTGCAGCAGGTATCAATCCGAACAATTCTTCAGAGCACTCCCCATGATAAATTCGGTAGAAGATGCACAGAGATGCAACATCTCTACGCAGTTTCAGATCTAACAGAATTATTGCTATCAATATACCCTATCAGATCGACCTCCCTGCGGTTCCCCCTGGAAACCATCTTGGTAAATTCTTTATGAATTCATCACTATGGGCCAACTGACTTGTTTCATTCACACCTATCACCCCCCACTGATACACCGTCAGCGTATACCGATAGCGCCAGCGAGTTTTCCATTCCATTATCACCTATTAGAAACCACTTTCATACATATGGAGATTCTTGATTCCTACATTAGATAGTAAACGATCATACACAGTTTACTCGTATAAACGGTACAATTATTGATAAATATAGTTAATAAGTCCATTCACTTCATTTATATAGTTACCAAAGTGCTAAAGAATAATGCAGCGTTGATGATAAATAGGTCGCTACCATTGCCAGCCTGCCAGCTAGTCTAGAATGGTTTATAGCAGTATAAATCAAAGCCCTTAGCACGTGCAGTGGGATGGTGAAAGTGGCACACCAACTAATACGAGATCCGATGGAACTCGATATTCGGTATCGATTTACTCGATCGCTCTGTCACTCGATACGTTCCGCGGCTGTACACTTTGCGTTATTGATGAACATTTTATAAGTCTTAATGTGACTGATGTTACGCTACGCTACAAAATAGTTCAATTTTATAATTATTAATATGTTTAAAAGTGACAAAACTTGTACTACTTCAACAGATTGTAAAAATCCAACAGTTTCCAACATCAAAATATACGTAAATAGATAATCTTTAACTCTCTAACGAATCAAATTAAATTAAATATGTTTTAATTAAAGCTACACTTAAAGAAATACATAATAATTTAAGATTCCCTCCGCAAAAAGAAACAATAATTTTAATAAAGACGAACGTAATAATAATATGAAATCAATATCCGCACCCTATTAATTGCAATAAAATCAATATTCGTTCAGAATTGATAAAGATATCTCGTAACTTACACATATAAAAATACAAACGAATTGAGAAATTCCACCTTTTAGAAGTCCCTTAAAAAGATATGACAAGTTTGTTTACCAATTAACTAAAGCAAATAAGAAATAACATATTATTACAATATAACCAATGGCTTATAAATGAATAACAAATATAATAATCGATTACAAAACGATGAGAACGTATCGATTCCGATCATGCACGTAACAGACTTCAATAAAGCGTACATAATGCAAATTTCGTGGTAACATTTAAGTCAAGGACACTTAAATTAGTTGATCAACTGTTTATCATTAATTCTGCACTATTCTGCTTATAAAATAGTAAGTTAATTAAAACGTGTAGGAAGTAAATTAAGAGTTCTTGAAAAATGTAAAATTAAATTCGAATTGGAAGAATTTAGCAGTTCAGTATAAGTAACGAATACAAGTGTGGTGTGTACAATTTCGCAGAGCAAAGTAGCAGGGATTGTTAGTTATGAGGACTAAGGGCTCCATTCCTGGAAACTATCGTGATTAATTCCTGATGAATTCTTACTACATCCTCACCTATCGCTGGAGTCCCGCCAACTTACACCGATAGCATAGATGGGGCAACCATATCATTTTATCGTTAAAAATATCCCCTTTTAGCTAATAAATCATTAAAATATTGACGTTAGCAGGCAGAATATGCAGCGTGGGATTTTTTAAAATGGTGGTAATAAGCTTTAAAGGTCAGCAGTGCACGCGAAACACCTCTAGTGTTATAGGCATTCATATCTTACAATGATCGTTTACTGTCAGACAGGCCATTTGCTAATTTACCACCACAGTAGTATAAAAAAATCTATAAAGTACCTGTAAATCAATAGAATCGTTTGGCATTTGTTTTTTTTTTAATGTACTTATAATAGTAAACAAGTAGATGACCCACCTGATGAAAAATGATAATTGTCGCCAATATATACGAATAACAACATGTAAGTAATAAAATTGTTCTAACTTTTAAAGATGAGCACCATAAACCTTCAAATTTTAATAGGCCTGTAATGTGTTGAAGTTTAAGCATCTGTAAACTGCAGGTAACAGTAAATAAATAAAATAATTAATAAAAAAACTCACCTGCAAGCAGGGGCACAGCGGCCACCGTCGGCGGAGCGCGTGCGGCATCTTCTTACGAGGAGGGTCTGGCTCCTCGGGGGGCTCGCCGCACGCCCAGCGCACGAGGCGCGTGCGCGCCGCCTCCGCAGCCTCCAGGCCGCGCGACCACGATGGGAGGCCCTGGGGATGAACAAAATTCAAATATTAACATCATCATCAATACTGTTTTTTTGTAAATACATATTATACATAGAAAATACTCAGACCAATACAAACAATCATATTCATGAATATAAGTGTTTGTAGTATGCGGGGATCAAACTCGCGACCATCGGAAGGTTAGGCGGTCAATTAACCCACTAAACTACCAAGAACGTCAATTAAAATAGATTTACAATCGATATGTAACAAATATAGGCAAATCAACAAAATCCTGTATTTGCACTCAAAAGCGTAATGGCGTTTATAAATAAAACAAATAGACATGGAACGTATTTATAAAAGTTAACAGGGTCTAAATAAATACTTTATTTTATCAAAATACAAATCGTAATTACATTATTCATTAAAAGAACTAAGTGTGATCAATGTCAATATTCTAGAGTGCATGATCTCAATTCATCGGACTTGCATTATAAGAATTTTAATGAGAATATAACGCATATAATTTCTTTAATTAAACTCAGTCAAGGACATGCAAAACACTGTATGCTGTTGAACGCGAACATTGCGTTGTGATGTAACACGAACGGAAGGCAACGCACCGCCTCTTCGGTAACGGTAAAACGACAGCAAGAGTGAAATGTAATACAGTAGCTTAGATTTGAACAGGCTGTAATGAAAAAGCGAATCGGTTCGCTTTTGCGATTGACTTTCTTCCGACTGATATGAAGTGATACAACGGTTATTAAATAGTTAACAGATTTTTTAATCGATTTTAATACAACGGTAATTCCGCCTATGTTCTCGGTATACGCTAGTGGAGCAGCAATGAGAGATAATACGTAAAGATGAAAGCATGAAATGAAATTCCGAGTTTTCGGACTCAATTTTGTATTTTATTTATACCGAAATTGGGCCAGTAATTGGAGTTTAACGTTTCGTTTGTCATAAATCCTATCATAATAGTTCAAATAACGATATTTTAACATTTTTAATATTTCCAACGGTATGTATTATGTAATACTAACATCAAATTTGTGTTTCGTTCAACCCCGAAATTTCACAACATATTTCATGGCAGAACCTCAGGTCAGTTTGGCCCATTGTGACGAAACAAATTCATTATTCATTCTTTAATGTACACAAAAAGGTATTATATCAAAATAATAAATAAACATAATAGCGTTGTGTACTATTGTTTGTTGGTCGAGATTATCTCTAAAAGAGATTTGTTCTTATTATAATTTACTCATATATTTAATTCGTACTATTTGTCAAGATTCGCGGTGTTGCTCCCGGCATAGAATAGGCCACTCCTTCCTGTGCCGTGGGTGTCGTAAGAGGCGACTAAGAAAGGGCGAGGGATAGGCAGCAGTGTTTGTCTTAAAACATCTCCAAAAATTAACTGCGGTTGCCAATCCGCCTTCTAAGCGTGGCAACTACTGGCAAAACCGTCCAAGCCTCCTCGGCTTAGGTTGAGCAGTGGACAGTTAAAGGTTCTAAGTATTATCCTGGTCTAATTAAAAAACTTAGTTATATTTTAAGTCTTAAAAAATAAGCATTCTGAATCTAGAATGCATATTAATATTTAATAAGTTAGAAACTTTTGGCCTAACGCAATATTTCAATTATAGGATTGACATTATTGAAAGGCGCAGTAATAAAGGTAATTGAATCAAATGACAAGCACAGTGCGGTCACGATCGGTCAATTGAACTGATGATATCAATATAATTGGTCACTCTAGTCCCTAATACAAGTTTCGAGAGATTCATGTCAAATTTCTATTTACGTTTTATAGTAACGAACATAAAAAAATACAACCAAATAGAGAACCTCTACTTTTTTTGAAGTCGGTTGAAAAAAAAATGGTGACACATTGTAATTTTTCCTTGTCGCCACATGGAGATTATTAACAATGTGAATTACATTCGCATAAATAAGAATTCCTAACCAGTATGCTATAGACCAGCTTAATTTATGCACTCCCATTCGCTGATTAGCATTGATCGTTCGCTCCATTTCAACACTCCATCACAAGCATTGTTCACTTGAACTTTGAGAGCGGCATTTACCGAACTGTTGCCAACTGATGCTGGCACACGATAAACAAAATCTGATGCTTTCAATACCAACACGAATATGATGAAAGCAGATTCCATGGCTTTTTGAAATATTCCAATTTAAAAACATCCATGGAATTAAACGGAACCACTATATATATATATATATATATGTTATATATATATATATATATATAACATATATAGAGAATAACATTCCTGATGAATTCACTCATGTATAAATTCATTTCATGCCACGATTCTCATCTATCACCCTTCACTGCTTGTTTTCCATTTTCGCCCATAAAAACAAAACTATGAAAAATCTTTTGCCGCTTGTCTAGGACGGACTGGTCACATAAACAAAGTCGCGGATTAAAACTAGTCATAATGACAACATACATTTTACCTATTTGTTTGTCTGATCTATAACACAATTAGATATGCGCTTACCACGACAAGAAACGAACCATAATACACAAATCTAAATAGGAATCATTATTGAAATAAAACAATGGTCTGAAAGCAAAACAAAAGTGTAACGAATGCGACAATGGCAGCGGAGTCGAGCATGAAAACTTTCGTATGACCGTGAACGAGGATGGCAGTGGGCCACTGTGCCATCATCATCATGGAAGGCACGTACTATCGGTGATGAGACTAGGATGTACGAGTGAAAGTGAAATCACTTTATGTTGAGTGAAGCGTCCCAAACACACGGTACTTGACGTATTTACATGCCTCTTGACGTCATTTGATACATTTAAATAATGTGTCGCTAATTAGGAATCCTAATTTAACATGTGACTATATTAAATTGACAAACAAGCTATTGATCCATTAATGTCTACAAAAGTACAATATATTTCATATTGTTACATATATTTTTTACCTATGCGCCTACAAATTCAGTATGAATATTTTTTTAAAATTAAGGTTATTGAAATCTCGATAGGTTTTAAAAATAAACACGATATAGAGAATAGGCAAATGTTTTCTCATACTTACCTACTCAATTTTATTACTAAGCTTTATGTTCTCGTTTCAACTAGTATATATTTGTACGTAATATAATGTAATATCTCCCGTTAATCGCATGCTAATTTTATTAAGATAATTTGTGTGATAAAAATTCTTCGATTATACCTATTTAATAATCTTCAGATCAATATCTAATCAAAATAATATATAGATATTTTAAATAATAAATTGTCCTCTACAATTAAAGTCAATGACATTATTATATTAAAATATAAAGTCAATGACTTATGAGACAGATAAAGTAGTAGCAAATTGCAATACATAAACAGATATGTATGTTATAAGCAATCAAGCAAGCAAAAAGTCAGAAACTTCGATGTAAAGTACAATAATTTAATATAAAATATATTTTATAGAACACTAAATATCAAATTTCGTGTCAATTTTGACCGTAATCAATTCCCAGTAGATCGGAATGTAATTAAGATACTAAATACTTTTAATTGGGTCCTTGACAATTCAAATATCTGTACAAGAGATTGCTGATAAAATCATAATAAAACCCTACCTAGCATCAATCAAACAATTTATCTACGTAAGTAACAGCAGACAATTAAAACAAGTGCATAATAGAGTTATCTACTAAGCACCATTAGTACAATAAAGCAAATATTTATTGTCTTCGCATATCATGTAATAACAAATAAAGTCAAAGTGGTAAATGATGTTGAAGATGTAATTAATAATAATTATATAATTAGCTAGTATTATATAAAATTACGAACCGCTATAGATAAATTAGAAGATAACAATAGAAGACGAACCTACGAAACTAACCTCGTATGGTATAAATAAATTAATATATAATTATATTTGATATTACTTAACATAATTGCATTACGAGGAGGAGAAGCAGTAGGTAATAAACATAAAAATATATCGAACTATAATTAATAATTTATATGGAATGTTTATCCAATAATATGTTATTAATTTTCGCATAAATAAGTTCCAAATTACTGCAAACATTCAATATACAAAATTAATGTTTCTTAACTTTATTAAACCTTAATTTAATATACATGTAATCTACATACAGAGATTAAATTAATTCGTGACTAGGTAATTTTACTTACGTTATGTAATAAGAAATTTGATAGGCTAAAACTTAAATCCTTAATTAGATGTAATTAACCATTACACGAAGATAAATCTAAGAACATAAAACAATTTTAAACCTCCAGTGATTAATTGGACATGACGTTCTTTTATTTGATCGATAGGTAAATGTATGTCAGTTTGATTATTATTCGTATTATGTATTACGCAAAGTTTCATTGTCTTCAATGTAAACCGGAAGTAGTTCATTATAAATTAATTTCTAAGAAAGTAAATAGCAAAAAACTTCTAGATCCGTGACACAAATAGTGCAGTGGAGCAAAAGTAAACAAGTAATAAATTGAAACTACCAGTCTGAATGAAGACACCAGCTGGATACCAAATGATACCACATTATAAATTATTCATGTTAGCACTGCGACGAAGACACTACCAATAGAAGAAAACTTGCCATCCAATAAAAATGCAGTGTGCTATACACATATATAATATATTAGGATCACTTTAGTTGAAAAACATTGTTGTTAATTAATATTTTAACATCCAGACTCGTATATAAAAATGAATTAAAGAATTGAGGTACCTAAACCTAATAGTTCATTTTTCATTTGCAATATTCCTCATTTTGACAGTTTTATAATTTATTATCTCATCGATAATGTCTTTTTTAGACTGGATATCCTAATATAAAATCACATTAATCCAAATTAAAATATGGCACTATATAAACATTATAAGGAAGTCTCAGGAGTAAGATGTTTTAATAAAGAGGAAAAAAATAATTACACTATTTTAATAGGCTAAAAAGTATAAATCTTTTTTTTTTTATAATATAGGAGGTAAATGAGCATGCAGCTCGCCTAATAGTAAATTACTACCATCGTCCATGAGCACCTGCAACATCGAAAGAATTGCTACCGACCCTTTAAAAGAATGCTCTAATAATACTTATAGTTTAATAATTCCTAAACATGAAATACAATTTCAACAGTTACAAGTTACGCCTTGACCAGATACAATTTTAATTACTCTTTATTAATTATTCCTCTCCATCCTAAGGTTGCCCTGAAAGAGATAGCTATTTAGCGATAAGGCCGCCCATTGTTGCCTCTTTATCTTGCTTTTATGTAATTAAGTATTCATTTTGTTTGTGTACATTTTGTTAATCATTTTAATCTATGTCATTCTTTGAAAATTACAATAGTTTTCAATCATTCATTCATTCATCCAAATAAATTACTTTTAATATTATTATTTATTTTTTATTAATTTGTATTATCACCTTATAAACAATAGCTTTAAGAGCTATAAACTTAATCTAATGATAAAGATTATTCTAAACAGTTCGAGCAACGAGCAAATAGGAAACTGATGCCGGATCTATGGTGATACATTGCATCATCACGCCCTGACCTCCTATATAACATGATTATAAAACACCAGCCGTTAAAATGCACCTTCCTGGTTAATTACAAATCTTTAATGGATATACTGCATCACGATTAGCTCGAATGCTACTTTTGCATATCCCACACTCAATGTTTTAACAAAATTTCTAATTTTTTTTATTTAAAAGTTACACAGACTTTAATAAGTAATAAAAAAGAATTAAAAAAGAACTTAAATTAATGATTTAAAAAAAACATTATCCATTGGCAAACAAAGATAAACTTAAAGAATACTCAAATACAAAGTCATTAAACAACGACATTTTGACTTCTGTGTGAGACGATTATGTTTTATTATCTTTTACTAAGTGGCAAATACAATCAATACAATCTATAAATTTATAGATAAACTTTTTTAATTTAATATAAATGAGCATTGTTTCTAATTTGATATTAGTCAACATTCTGATTTCTTTATAAATAGTCAAACCATTAAAAGCAATATTATCATGAATTTTTTTATATTCTGTCTTTACATGGGAATAATTGGACATTTCCGTATAACAGGTAATATCTAATGTTTTTATAATTGTTTTTATGTGTACTACTTTTTATCGACGACTCCATCCACGTGGCGCGATATGTTATCAAATAGGAATAAGTTATATCCTTCTTCATTTCAATTAGTATGTGTATACTAAATTTCACGACGAATTGAGTCGTTAAGACACCAAGAGGTTACAAACAAACTCATCTTCATTACCTTATAATAGGTACTATTGATAGTAAAAATTTTAGAACTTTTTACAATATTTTCAGCTCTACCATTTCAAGCTTCTTCCGAAATACAATCCTTAAAACACCGTATAGTTGGAGGTGAAGATGCTCCTAAAAATTATGCTCCTCATATGGCAGCATTAGTAGTTGGTGAAATTTTAACTAACCTCATGTGTGGAGGATCAATTGTTAGCAAACGTCATATCCTCACTGCTGCTCATTGCATAGATCCCTTTGTTACATGGCAAGGACAACTACTAGAGTAAGTATTTTTTATAATATTTTAACTTCCCCTAAATTTGTAAAACCTGTATCAAGAAAAACTGGATTGTATTGAATCTGAACCTTGTTTATAGAACTTTTCGCGGAGCTGTTGGAACAAATCAATGGGAGACGGCGAACTATTATGTAGAATTCTCGCATTTCACCAATCATCCTAACTGGCACTCATCGTTTCTTAAAAATGACGTAGGAGTACTATTTCTAGTTGAGGAATTAAGGCTAAATGATAATGTGGCTATTGTACCCCTTAACTTTGACTGGGTAGATGAAGGAGAAAACAGCTACGTCACGGGATGGGGAAGAATTTGGGTAAGATTCACATTAAACCTTTTCACTTTAATCTACGATCTTCTATTTGCAATTTTGCGGCATCGCTTGTGGGTATTAACTAAAAAGTATTCCTACAGATTCAACTCTTCCTTGCGTATGTGGGTCGTGAAATGAACTCTCATCTAAAGCTTTCAGCATCACACTAGCAACTTCCGTGTTATGCAAGTACTTATCGTCAATGGTAGTCACTTCCTATCAGGGGATTGTGAATTTATTTGCTTCCCTAACAAATAGCTAAGTCATTAAAGGAGCGTAAAATAAAATCATTCAAGATGTCTTTATAAACATAATTACAATAATCTTAGCACATACAGTTGACCATAGATATCTTAAATATTTTATATTTTATAGGCCTGGGGACCGATACCAGATAAACTACAGCTTCTGTACGTGAATACAATTTCGGGACAGGACTGCGAGGACAAAGTTCGCGAAGCGGCCATCGAATGGGGATGGGCTCCTCCGATTGATCCTAACATAGAAATCTGCACTTTGCACTCTCCTGGATATGGTATGTGTAATGTAAGTGAAAAATTGAAAATTCATATTGATGAAATAAATTTTTAAGCGTAATAATCGTCATAACAACTTGATAACAGCTATGTTTACCTTTACGTCGTGTCCAAGATCATGCAAGATTATTATCAGTGCTGTCAACGTATTTCTTATACAGATAGACATCACGGTAATGGTCTTGTTTGTGAAATCAGTATAAAAAGTCAATATTTGAAAAAGATAAAATTACATATTTGAGTAATATTTTTATTTAATCAATTACTATCAAAATTATGATATACGCATTTACCATCTAAAGAGCGCTGGGAAATATGTGTGGTACAAAAGATACAGTGAGACAAAGTGATTAGAGAGAAGTGTGGACTTAAAAACAATATAGTGATAAAGATAGAAAAGGGAATTTTACGTTAGTTTGACCATTTGAAGAAGATTAATAAAAGAAGAATTACGAAATAGATTTTAACCTTATATCAAAATTTTTTAACCTACATAATTAATAATTATTATTTTCCTCAGGGTGACTCTGGAAGTGCTCTGGTATCAGTTAAGACTGGAAAGCAATCCGGAATAGTATCGTGGGGATTCGCATGTGCCCTGGGAGCACCAGATGTATTCACACGTATTAGTGGTGTGAAAGATTTCTTGAAATCTATCATAGGTGACTAATTTATAAATGTTAATTAATTAATTAATTAATGAGTATACTTAATTTGTATTATATAATATAGGGAATAAGCTAGACAATTAATAAATGTAAGAATACAGTTGTATATTATTATTTATTTTACTGATTAACGCTCAATATATCAGTAATATTGAAATTTTCATAGTTTTATTGCACATTCAATTATTAGATATATTTATATCACATCCTATTTTAAAACTTTGTCACTTTTAATTTTCGTCTCACTCCCTGGTTATTGAAAACACCAAATAACAAACCAAATTAATCCAAGTGATGCCGACCGACTCGCCTGTAATTTTAGATTCGAAATGTGGACAAGTGTTACGTCTACCACGATTGTAACAGTAGACAAATGCCTCTGACTACTAGGCATGGGTAATATGGATACCGAACCGATATCTATATATTGGGTTCCTGTGGACATTGACGGCGGAAAAAAGTTATCACCCATTTCGATATCGCCTATATCAGTCGAATATCTATTTTCGAAAATATTAAAAGTTAGTTATCCAATATTAGTTTTTGAATAACAAACTTTTTTAACATATTCGTTATTAAACCAGTGTATAGATATTGTAAGAAAAATATATAAATATTGCTATTATGATATTAAAATATTAAATATTGGCCACCCTTACTGACTACTTCATATTTATTTTCTATTAGAATTTAAATAGTAAAATAATTGTATTAATATACAAAAAACATTACTTAAAACATTTCGAATTACTATTTAAACAAAGACAAATATCAAACACGAATATATTTTTTACCTACATAAAATATTAAACATTTCACTATTCACCTAAGACCTTACAGTGAATAAAACTGTTTTTAATAGAATAATAAACCATCGATATCTGTGCAGAGGTCAAGGGACACATGCCTGCCTCTCTCGACAGAAATAGCATAATTCAGTACTTGGATGTTTACAAGTCAATGCTGGTGAAAGCTGATGAATGACATTTCACCACGTTATCCTCTAGGTGAAAACTTACATACAATGCGAAATACTAAATACTAAGTAAGTACATAACATACAGTTCCTATAAATACCGGTGTTACCCACCTTACCATTTTAGAATTACACTACTTAAAGAGAATTTTTATCTGTTATTCGAAATAACATTGGTAAATGTTTACCTAATAATAAACAAAAATTGTTAAATGAAATATCTTTAAAAATATTTGTATTAAATCACATTATCAATAAATATTTTAAAAAGATCGTAATTATGACAAAATATTTCAAATTCAGATATTTTTGTATAAACAATGACAAAGCAAAAACGTAACTATGTAAAAATATTTAACATTATGATATTCTACGACCATGTGCAATGAAATGCTAAGTTAACACGATCACGTACCCATAAAATAAACATGTCGAATTTGTAAACCCGTTACAATACTGATTTACAATACATATGTTACAGTCATATTTTTCTGGAAACATAAATTTGAATATCGAACGTTTTCAATTCTGAACAACATATTGGCATAAAATCTGCCAATCCTTTGTTATGCAATGATATTATAATGAAACAAAAAAGGCTCATTTACCCTAACTGCCGGGGACTTATATTATTATTTATACAGCGCCACAGGGAACTATAAAAATTTTGTGTCTCATAAGCTCGCGACATATAACAAACCTTTGTTTTTCGAGACCATAAAGCCATAAAAAAATTAAGATAGTAAAAAAAATTATCGATTACATATACACAAGGATGTTAAAAACTTGAAATATTAAAGCTAGGTTTCTTTTATAACGCAGATTTTATAGATTTCCTAAGATTATGACAGAAAAAAAGTTAATAAATTGAAATACTATTTTCAAAAGTAGAGTACAAAATACTAAAATCCTTATTGCCACCAAAGGCGATACAATATTACTGATTGAAAACAGTAACTACGTAGGTATATAAGTTTATAAATTATTCAAGGCGCGAATGAACAATGGAACAATTATTTTGTTTTACAATGTTTAATTTACGTAAACAATACGAAATCAGTCTACTTGCCAACTCTTCCAAGAAGCGAAGGCTCGGTAGACGCTGTGGAATCCGATGGTATTGTTCGATGGAAATTTATATTTTAAATATTTATACAATAATGTATTACTTCACACAATACGAGTCAGGATAATATAATGTCTACATTAAACAAAAATATTATTACTGATAAGTACTAAGATAGAGACAAATCACATATACTCGTTGATGAATACATTAATTTTATAAATAGGACTTACTTATAGAATATAGAATTATTTAAACATGTAAAGTATTTCATATTTTACAAGAACTTTAAATAAACTAAACAATTTAACTTATAGCTCAAGATATATACAGTTATCAGGAGACATCAAGATGAAAATAGATATGATATCATGAATATACGTTTACAAGGTAAGTTAAGTAACCAAGGCAAATATAGATATGGGATTCTGTTACAAAAAAAAACTTAATAATAAACCAAAAAATCACAATACTCAGGAGTAAACAAAATATTATAAAGATTGTTTATTTTAAATTACAATCATGGATCGACTCATAACTAGAAGACCAGTTGACACAGATATGTGAAACCTATATGTAAAACCAATTATATTAATACTTTTTGAATGCATACTTTATACAATACGTTCTGTATTGTTTGTTGCAATCGGATGAAACAACAACAATAAAACAATCACAGTTATAGAAGAATATAAATAACTAGCTGTATTTCGCAGGTCCCCCGTACGAATCAGTATATAAAGTATCCTATTTACTAAGTTAGCACCTACCTGTGTAGTCAATTTTATTCAAATCCATTCAAGAGTTTATGCGTAAAAGAGTAACAAACATCCATCCATCCACCCACCCATCCATCCATCCATCCATCCATCCATCCATCGTGACGAACTTTAACATTTATTATATTAATAGGATATAAGACTAATTATTAGTGGAATAGTAATTATTAAATATAACAAAAATTATTAATTATTATAGATATAAAAGTCGAATTAAGAGAAAACCATCTCATTTCTGAAGTCTGAATCAAATTAAATTCAGTTCATGTTGTCTATTTATATGGGCATAAAAGCTGAAATTCACATAAAAAACTACATTTAGATCAACTGCATTTGCAGAATAGCAATCGATCTATTCTGAAATGAAATGCGATTGAACTATTCTGAAATGTATCATAATTTATATTGTACAAAAATAACAATGCAAAACAGCTCATTCAGATATTAAATCGTTTCGATTGCACTAACAGCGTAGCTATCTCAATTCCAAATCGATTTGTGAAATTTTACATTGCGAGTAAATTAGTTTCAACGTTATTGCCTTATCCATTGTCTTAGACAACTGAAATATTCAAAAGTTTATACTCGACGTTTTTATACGTAGAATACAAAGAAGCCGACAACCATTTTAATGGTATTGATTATGGAAATCTATGATATCCTCGTACCTACAATAAAAATCACTAAACACCATAAAGCAATGTAAATCTACACTTAGTCTTTCTGATTACAAACTGTTTATTGATTTAAAGTTATACTTGTTGGATAAAAATTTTTGAAGCTGAACTGATTTCACGTAGAGTTTCTGACGCTAGCACCTATTAAAATATTACATTATCTATGCCAACACGACGCCTATAACTGATCCAATGTAAACTTACTTAATATTAAGCCTCACATTTCACTGCTATTCATATAATTTTGTTATCATGTACGTAAAAGAAACAAATACTAAACTTTATAATTAATTTCGCTCTCTTACGATTATTACGGGACATTTTCTTTCATACAAAACCTGTTCTTACAATTACAAACAATACAAAAAGAACTAGCCAAATAGTTGCAACCGTTCTAAAGTGAAACGCATATTGGCATATAGCAATAGATATTTAATAGAGACAAGAAATTGTTAGTAATGGGGTCTAACAGTCCTTTTGCTAGCAATCATATCAAATCGACAGACAGACCACGCGGTTCCCGCATGAAATTACAGTCACGATATGCCAACTGGGGGCCTACCATGAAATGAAATTCCGAATTTTCGGGCTCAATTTCGTGTTTTTGTTCGTACCTAAATCGACCCAGTAAATGGAGCTTAACGTTTCATTCATCATAAATCCTATCCTTATAGTCCAGAGGAACGATATTTTTAATAATTTTCGTTCGTCCTCGAAATTTCGGAAAATATTTCGTGGTAAGCCCTCTGATCTGCATGATCCGCACCAGTTATTTCTCACTGGTGCCCCGCCAGTGTAATCAATAACACAGACGGAGTTGCTATTTCATTTCCATCCATTAAAATAAGAATTGATTTTTATTTACATAGAAAAAAAAAGTAAAAGTGTTCTTTTATTTGTTACATCTTGCCGCCTTAAGAATACTACTGATAATCATGAAAATTAGTTTACACGTGCTATAGTATTTAAGATCGATAATGACATAGGCAATTTTTTTCTCATGCTTTCAATATACTCCAGTAACATAGATGAAATCACGGATAAAAATTTGTAGTAGATATATACTCGCAATTAATTGGCCGGACCACCACTGTAGTACCGATCTCGGTTCGTTTTCGCTCTGCTTTCAGTATAGTCATAGATAATATAGTATTAGGTAAGTTCAATAGGAACACTTCGAGATTGATCGGAACGGGACTGGATTGTAGTTTGTTTCTTACGTAATTTGACCAGATCAAGAGAGGAGCGAGAGCGGCACTATAATGTGGACTTTTGGTCCTTATCGGTGGCAAGCTAAACAATGAAACAACTGTCATTTGTATTTAAACGACTTTCATATCTAAGACATATTGATATTGATTTTAAAATTGTATGATTAAGCCACCAAACAATAATATGCCTACTACAAGACAACAAGTAGATAGTGATTAATATTGAAAATATGCTTTATAAATATGATCATAAAAACCTCAGTGAAAGCGTGTAAAAATTTCATGAATTACTCAGACATTGGAAAGGGGAGAAAGGATTGTTAGTTGTGGAACTAAGTTCCATTGCTAGAAATATACTCTGTCTAGTCGACCTACACGCAGTTCCTCCTGGAAACCATTTTTTTTTATGTATTCGTCACGATGAGCCAATTTACTTGTTTTTCATCCT